ACAGATGGAAACACACGGCGGGTGCTTTCAATATTGCAGCGCACGTTTCTCGCAGTATACAGATGAGTAAAGTACTAACTGAGCTACTAGTCATCCTCGCTGGGACCCAATTCTGCTCGCGCTAACATGGCTTGAAGTACTTTGTAATGTGCAAACACAGGGGTTAAAATAATATTTTTAAATTGAACAGCGTAACATCCATCCTAATAATATTATAAAACCTACTAATATTATAAACTTTCACGCAAAAACTACTGAACGGATTTCAATTAAACTTTCCAATAGTATAGCTTATACATCAGAATAACACATAGGCATACAATTTATAAAGATATTGTGTGAGCTGTCCAAAATATGACATTAAGTGTCAAGTAACAAGGAAAAAACCTACCTTTCTGCGAGGTATTCTGGAGTGCGCTACCATAAACGTTAGTTACACATAATTATGTAATGTATGATATAATAGACATCATTTAGTTTAAATGCGCGATACTACGTAATTCTAATCCTAATCCTGCTTACACGAAATCGCGGGCACCAGCTAGTGCTATATAAATTAAGCCCCCATCTCCTATCCATCAACATCCAATTACTACAATCTATACTAGTATTATAAAGCGGAAAAGTTTGTTTGTTTGAACAAGCTAACCTCAGGTACTACTGGTTGGAATTGCAAAATTATTTTTGTGTTGGTTCGACCATTTTTCGAAGAAGATTTTACATTATAAAAAATCACACAACCAACAGGAGCGACGATACGAAACATGAAAAAAACATCTTTAAGGGTAAGTGCGCTGCGTAACCAAAAAAGTGATTATAAAACAATAATATGAATGTCGTCGACTGTATATATCTAACGTAAGAACGACGGGACGCGGACGATATCGTGGGTAACACATATATGTAATTAAAAAAGCTGAGGAGGTTGTTTGCAAAAATAAATAATATACCAAAATAACTATTCCACGCGGACGAGGTCTCGGGCATAGCTAGTTCCTTTATACGCGCAATCACTTTAACAGGTGGTGGACGTTTTATAGAATATCGTTTTTATACACTAGGTCTAGTAGTCAATGCTTCTGTTGCTAGGATTGCACTAGCATTATAAGCAGAATAGGGATCCGGCGCACAAAGCCCGCACTAGTGCGATAAGTCCCGAGGCGTTAGCGGCGTTTTGTTCGTAACGCGTTCTAACTTTTAGGAACAACTGGTGCGGGTCGGTACCGCAATAGGATTACCGACAGACCTAGCGCGCGCTCACCAACTAATTCAATTTTATTGTCAATATCAAACTCTTTTTAAAGCTTTCAACTTTGCTTTTAGACATTTAGCGGCGAACTAACCGAGAATATTTGGACGAATCTTACGTTCAAAAACATGGGCGAACTGCATATTTCAACGTAGTTTTTCTCACCGCTTTTATTAGTGTTTGCTCTGTTTTTTAATATCCCGCTGCTATCACTGAACTATATAATGTTCGAAGACCATTTGACTTTGGATAACCTGAATCGGTATATTTTTTATGTATTTATCTGTTTAGCCGCTAGGCATTTTTTTGATGTTATTATATAAGACAGCATTTTTATAGATACAATTTACATGTTTTACTTATTGTATTTGTAAAAACACCCGATCGGCTCCTGTAGCTAAATGGTTAAACGTGTTGCGTAGGATTGCGTTAAGCACGAGAAGTCCTGGGTTCAAATCCCTGGGGAAACATAAAAAGTTTCGGTTAGGGCGAGGCGGTAATCTTTTGATGTGTGATCTTTCTATAAGTTTATGAAAGTGTATTAAATCGCACGAACGAACAAAATGTGCAATAGTGTACAATAGAGTGTATGAAAGTGACTTTCCCGTTGTCAAATATTCAATTTCAGTCGTGTGTCAGGACGCGCCTTTGAATTCGCAAGAGAATGGGCAAGCTGCTCGTTCCAGCAGCGATTGCAGCCAATCAAAGCTTTTTCCATTTCCACTGCTGACGGACGAGACCCGAAACAACGGAAGCAATGAGTCGGCCCATCGATGTGAGCAATGGTTGTTAACCAATACGGCCACCGAGTTTTATTTTGGAAAATACACTCCAAAGCTTTCTAAAAAGCTTCTCGCTCGTGCAGCTATCTTTTAATATTGACTCTCTTTGATATCGCTGAAATGTTAAAATGCGCTGTTTCATATTTTATGAAAAATCTTTTCAAATCTGTGTTAGTTCTTGTACAAAAAAATATTATTATAGCAATGGGAGTGTTTTTAAAGTATCTGATTTGTTTTCTACGAGCCGAATGTAAATATTTTAGTTAAACGTTTAGAAAGGATATTGCTTAAAATAATATCTTATTAATAGATTATATAAGACTAAAAGTTTATAATGAAAAACACAACGACGTAGCGTGAATTTGCGATTTATTTTTAGCTTAATTATCCATTCTGTTCCTTCGACATCAATTTGGACCGGTCGAAAAGTTAAGTTATATTAGAGTTCGTATTTTTGTTTTTCTAGATAAAGAAAATGTCTCCCCATGACCATGGCTACTGCAAAGCATCCAAAACGTTGGGTCGAAGTTAAAAATAATTTTCAAATAAATTTAACTAATATATATCGCGTTTTAAACCGTTAAAGTGTTTTATTTAAATAGATTAAAAATAGACAAATAGTCTGAGTAACGTCGAAATTATGAAATATTTTTTTTCTTTATACAAATCCCTAACTTGTTAATAAAGTTAGAGTCTTAAATTATTAAAACTACTAGATATGCGTTCATGAAACCACAAACAACTTTTTAAATGACAGACGTGGATAAATAAACATGGCATTAGGATGCGTGGTTAAATGAAAAAAAACCAGGATGTGTTGTAGTTCTTCTAGTTATTGATGTTATTATAACTTACTGTCTCCGTAGCTCAATGGTTAAACATGATGCCTAGCATTGCGTTGAAGCATAAAACCTCCTGGATCCTAGCTAGGTAAACTCAATAATTTTGGCAGAACAGGGTACAGACGCAACTTGCAAATATACTACTCCATTGTTGTAGGAAATACCCCAGACATTTAACATCTCAGGAACATGCGATGTCAACCTATTTTATCTTCGGATATTCGGACTTACGTCAACACTTTCAACTATTGTAAATACGGTCAAGACAAGAGATAATCAAAGCTGTAGAATTTTAATGTGTAAGTCACAGATGTGGTCTGCTCCCCGGTGGCAGTAGGGGTGGACTTACGGCACTGTTTATAACAACAAAGGCACAGTCATTAAACACTTAGACACGGGGCCAGCGCGCTTACGTAATAGGGTGGCGGAGAAACTTTGCCAGTTTACTGCTTCCAAAGCAATAATGACCAATTTAGATAGATTATTTGAGTACTAATTGCATTGCGTTATATAAAGAATTGCCATCATCCACTTTTTACCTTTTAAGAAGATTGCTTAACGCAACACTGTGATTTGATGGCACCATCATGTTTTTTCTGTTTAATTAGAACATAGTTAATAGATTGTGTAAGGCTTTCACATCGTTCATTGTTTTTTGGGATTTTGGTCGACGAGAGCGAGAAGAGGTTCTCGACGTTAATATACATAATTCTTCGAGCAATCGAGGGGCTAACAACATCTGATGATCGTGATGGCTAAACGTCTAGAACCTCTCTGGCTCTGAAACATCTGGCTCACGTCGGCCGAACAGCTAGAAAACAACGTAATGCTACAACATAGTTAATTGCTTAGTTAACTTAATGAAAAAAAAAATATCTATAGTTGCAGTAGACAAGGATTCGCACAGAATCCCATCGACCGAAGATCGGATTACCTTACCACCTGTTAACACGGCCCTAATTATTCGCCTTTCATACCGTTAAATGTGATTTACGTTTGTTAACGACAAATGTCGTTTTTTTGCCATTTGTCGTTTAATGCCTTGACACTTACTCAACACTTTAAGTAGCAATTAATATTACTTGTCATTCATATAATGTCAATTTTATTTCTTTTAATTCAAGTATCACTAAGTGAACGCCACGATGTCTGTTTTGTATTGAATTATATATTACGCGTAATTAAGTAAACAGGTTTTTGATTCAAATAAAAATGATTTCTTATTTGGCTCGCAAATGGATTTAAAAGATAACTTAAAAGATAATATTCTTTAAAACTTTTAAGTACGAAAATATTGCAATGAAATAGTTTATATCTTATATTGAAATCGGTCCGAGAGTGGCCCAGTTGGTTGAAACTTTAATAATAGAAAGAGTTCGATGGTTGAAGTTGGCTCGAGTAACGACGTTTACTCGCAAACTTAGACCATCGCAAAATAAAATGAAATGATGTGAACACTACGTACTGTTTCTTCGTCTTTTTCTTTCTACGGATTTGTAATAAAACATTATTACGATCTTGTGACTTAGACCTGTCTTGCAAATATGACAAATTTAACTTTACAATAAATCTAGTAGGCATAGATTTATTAAGATATATAGAAGTGTTTGTTAAAATAAATAATTTTTCGATTTTGCCCCATTAAGAAAATATGTTAAAATGTACGAGTATGATATGACATCATTGTTTAGTACACCATAGGGATTACGGTGATACCTCTAATTTTTATTAAGGAGGACGGTAAAATGATTCAATTCATTTTTCAAGCTTTTATTGTATAGAAACATTAAATATGTGACGATTATAATAAGACGTACGTTTGTATGTGTTGAACAACACTGATACAAATATAAGCAGAATAATTAATATTTGAATAAAACTCTTTAACGGTTTAAAACGCGATATGTTAGTTAACTTGACACTGACTTTTAACTCCGTGGTCACGGGGAGTCTCCCCGCTGCAAAGCATCCGAAACGTCGGCCGTAGTTAAAAATCAATTAAATAAGTTTAACTAATATATCTCGTTTTAAACCGTTAAAGTGTTTTATATAAATGTGTACTAATCGCGTAAACTATAGACAGAATAATTAATAAAAACACAAACAGTAGAGTATACAAATATTTGATTAGCACTGACGTTTTTTAATTTTTAGGAGCACACCATTTTTAGACTCTGTCATCAATCTATAGATAAATTGAGGTTCCGTTCCTGGACCGCCGGGGCTAAGTTCGTACCTTCGTATGACATTTGATATGGTTGCTTTCATAGACGTCCACGCGAACCGGAAACCTATAAACAGATCAGATTTAGGAACTATTCTATACGGAATGCAATATTGCATATAGAATTACTTAATTGACCATTAGGTACACTAAAGCCCGGCGTTTGGATAAACTGAATATTTATCACCAAATTATAATTCTCGCGTAATGTTAATTTCGATTTTAATTTCGTGGATTTTCGTATATCAAATATATTGTTATGAAACATTAATAAAAATTATATAAATTCGTCAATTTAACCACACGCTTGTCATAAGAAAAGTCAAAAGGTAAAAATACTTTAAAAACTTGCCTACACAGTTTCTAGGCCCCGCGCTAAATGGGACAAAGGCATAATTATGCATGGGTTCAAAAAACCTCTCAGGATCGAACTTCTCTGGTTCAGGAAATATCTTAGGATCACGATGTATTGCATTGAAAAATATCACGACTGATGTGTTAGCTGGTATGATACGGCCATCTATAATGACCGAATGAAATATGGTGGTAAAATATCAGGAAGCAAATGTATTATTAGAGCATATTAAAAAAAGCAAAAATCTCTGATACAATCTCCGCCGGATCTCGATTCCTTAACTAACACCGTACCTTTACAAACCGTTGCGTTACAGACTGAGCTACAGTGTTTTCTGTTTTCATCTGTCTAATTACAAAATGGTATAATTATTACATTTATTATGAAAATGACATCACAGAGGTAAAACAAAATATGCAGTTAGGCGCGGACGCGGACACCATTTTAAAATACAAATAACTTTACCTTTTAACAGCAAGTCATTTTGCAAATGCCTTGAAATTTTATTGATAACGGGAATAAAACGCATGCTCTCCTTGATTACCGCTTCTAGATATTTCATTTCAACTAAGTCCTGGTTCGTTGGTTTCTTATAAATGTCGTTATTGAAAATTTGCTTCTGTTCTTCGATTATTCTATTTTGAACTTCTGGATGTTTCGCAATACAGTAGAGTGCGTGAGAAATTGCAACTGTGGATGAATGGTGGCCCTGAAAATAAATATGTTAGGTTTTCATCATTGATTGTCTTTGTTATTCAAAAGTCAAACTTGCCTAGCATTGCGCTAATTACGAGAGAGAGATGTGTGATCTGTTTTTTTGCATTGCATTTTGCAAAATCTTTGTACAATGTATCTTTTCTACCTTAGCATTTTTGGCAAATAAACACACAATTTACATAAAATCGTGATTTTCTCACAAGGTTTGCATTGATTTACAGTATACATACACTTTGAAACAGTGAATGGCACATTAAACTAATAAACTACTTCAAATTCACTTTGTAAAAAGCACAATTTCATGTTAAATCCTTAAAAATGAATTTAAAATTACACTAGTTTGACATTTACGTTAGGATGGGAAAGTAAGCAACGACAATATTAGAAGGTAAAAGTCCAACGCATACTAAATGGCTGATAAGCAGAACTAGATATTAAGGTACGTAAGGTTTTGGTCCATGTATATGATATTGCTTTATACCTCTGTCATCTGTGGCAACAAATTCACTTTATAAGATTACATTACTAGTTCTCTATTGTTTGAAATCGGCCATATTTAATGTGGTCTGTTGCTAGTTAGAAAAAATACACTAAAGATGTAAGAACTATCGATTTACTTACAGTCCAACAAAGCAGATTGACTTCCTGAGCCACATCATCTTCAGAAAGCACAAAACCATTGTATAGTTTACTTAACAATAACCTATCTAGCAAACATGCTTCTGTCGAACATTTCTCTTGCACTAACTTATCTATATCTAATCCACGTGTTTTAACAATATTGCACTCGTCTTCTATTATTTTCTTTATTTTTTCTCTTCGTCGCGCAATTACCTACAAATTATACATTTTATAATGAATGAATAATCTTGAAAACTAATTTAAATGATTAGTACTTACGTTACTACCCATAACTGATATGATATTTATCACATTCGTTATTGTTTTATACAATGTTGGAGTGACGAACGAATGTATCAGGCTTCTCCAATACGAAAAGTAATTTTGCGTTATTATTTTCATAGCACTGGAATACAATTTATTATTATTATTTTTATTTTACACACAAAATAAACACAGTTATACGAAATTTAAAAATATATTCTGGTAGTTTAGCGGACGGCCTTTTCAATATAGTTTAGATAAGAATTAGAAAAATAAATTAGGAGAGTGTTTGAAGGGCGATGTTTAAATTGTGAAAATTTTACAATCAACCGACATAAAAAAGTTGTTACCAATTTTGGAAATAGAAGTAACATAGAACAATTAAGCTTTTTTAAGAATGATAGTGAGGGAAGTTATACGTATAGATATACCATAGAATATATTTGTTATTATAAAGCTGAAGAGTTTGTTTTGTTTGTTTGAACGGGCTAATCTCCAGAATTATTTGGTTTGAATTGAAAAAAATATTTTTATATTGTTTGGACAATATCGAGGTAGGCATTAGGCTGTCAAACATCAGGCTGCGGTCAATAGGAGCGAAGAAACAATGGGGTGTGGAGAAAACAGGCAAGTTTATTGTTCATCTAGTAGGTAATCCGTTGCGTGCGCTAAGAAAATGGTTCACGATAACAATTTATATATATATAAGAATTATTCTCCCTTATATAATCTTAAAAAAGCCCGCATCAATATATGTCAGCTAGTATCGAATATGTACTGGCTCGGAACATTTTAACTGTAGCAACATTTTAAAATTGGTTTACTTATCACTGGCTTCAAAATATGGATTATCCAAATCGTTTAGAAGGTCAAGCTCCACTCCCATTAATGAATCTGTAATTGAAACATCACTACCATTTTACTATGTATTAATTATTACCTATTGATATTGTACGCTGCACCCTTATTTATTGTGCTTTTAGCGAGATACGCGATTGGAGATGAAGATATACAACATTATAGCAAAAAGTAATGGCTCATGTTCGTATACTTTAGTATTTTCCGCAACACTATTTTACCAGATGACTTGTAAGGTGTGTGAGTCTTTATAAATTTATTGTCATTTGGCGGGATTCGATTCTGATTCCACGAACCGTCAACATAAGAAGCCAAGGGGTTAAACGTTTGTCTCATTACCTATCACCTGTTGACGAACGGTTTGTTAAACTTAAGTGACTTAGTTTAAGATTAAGTAATCACTTACTGCATACTACGTTAAACATATAGGGCTTCATATATCGATAAATGTCGACAACTTGATTGTTTTGTTCATCAAGAAGTTTGAAGAGATGGTCACAGTTTGTATTGAAAGTCTCGAGGTTCTTGTCCAGTGTTTTAAAGTGAAAACTCGGTGCTATTATTTTCCTCATTAATTTCCATCGCGCACCTAAGACAAAGGGCAATAGTACAAAAAGTAAAAATATGTATATTTTGGACTTAACCAGCCATGCAGAGTGTAGAATACACATAATCGATAATTCTTAAATATGGATGTTTATTATTAAGTAGATCTATATTACTGTACTATTACTGTAATCTACCTAGAGTTAGATACGAATTACAAATAGTTGATTATAAAGAAATTAACAGGGGGTTTCATGAAATGGTACCTATAAATAAATCCTGGCTAGGTGCGGGATGATCTTTTATGGTTAGTATATAAAGATCGTCCCGCACCTAGCCAGGATAGTAATATCTGGTGTTCAAGGATAGAAGACTTTGCCCGAACACAGAACTTTTAAAATTCTCTAGTATTATATACCTAATACTAGAGAATTTAAAAAGTAAAAAAAAAAGTGTAACTAAAGTAAAATTTTATTGAAAGTCAAAAAGTGAAAGATACAAAATTTGTCAAATCACCCTTCATCATAAACGGGTGAAAATTAAGAACAGATGCTGCTGTTATATGCTACTTAAGATTAATATAATGTAAAATTATCCTTATTTACCATCAGAAGTTGAAAGAGAATTTCCAAAGAGAGGCTTCATTCCCGTATTTCTTTCTACTTGCTTTCTTAACTCTGTTGGATGATTGAGGATAGTCTGTATGAATTCAAAACCTTTAATACCCTATGCTTGTTATAACCATTATATTCCTTACGCAATATTATTCTAATTTAAAGATTTGCCAAAACACTCGTGAGTTGATTTTTTGGATATCGAATTGATTTGTTCTTTAGTTTTAACACATAACACGCAATATCACAGTACTTATAACATTCATGCACTTACCGCGACATCGTCAGGATTCGAAATCAGCACCCACTCCTCAGATCCGACAGTCATGCGAAAATTACTGCCCCCGTGCTTTTTCCAGAGGTCCACCATTTTATTAGAACAAACTATAAGAACAAGAAATATAAATTTTAAATAGCAGGAACGATCATAGTTTTATAGAAAATGCAATGATTAATACACCAAGTAATATTTAGTAAACACACAAGCTATTTAAGATGTATATTGATTACATGTATACTAAAAAGATTGTTGTCAAAATTTACAATGACTGTAATCTACCTAGCGTTTACGGTTATAAAAACTACAATCTACCTTCCTAAAACTATCTTAAAAGCATATTTAATGCTTACAATCAGTGTCAAATCCCAGTTGTAAACCATTTCCGACTAATGGCAGAGGGTAGTCACCAGGATACTGGCTCAACATCTTCCACGCTCGGTTGCGCTGCGGTTTTGACAAGTAAATCGCGAACAAAATAACTACAATCACTGTTAAAAAGATAAACATTTCGTACTGATGAAGAATGTTGACCCGGCTTCACCAACGAATGTAGTTTCCTTACATTAACTTATAACAGTTGCAACTGCCAGAGGTGACTCCGAAACAATTATTTATATTATTTCGTTTTATATAATGCTGCGTTCACATCGCCAAATTACGACACACTTACGCAAACATTATTTTTATCATTTCCTTAATTTTGCTACATCCTTTTTATTACTTTCTTGATTTTTATCTTTACAGTCATTTCAAGTAATAAAAAAGTTTAGGAATATCCTACAAAGTTTGCTTTTTTCGTATAAAAAGTAGTAAAATTAAAAAAAAACCTGCGTAAAAGCATTTTATTACCAACACTTTTCAATCATCAAAATAACTTAAAAACAAGATAAAGCCTAAGTCCAAGATAAGGGTCCATCAAAATTAATATAGTAAGTTTGCTAAAAGTAAATACGGCCTATCTTGATATATCTTAACTAGAGATGCAACGAATATTCGGTTGCTATCCGCTATCCGGCCTATCCGGTCGAATACCGGATAGTTGCGCACAATCCGGCTGGACACCGAAGAGTGATTTTGTTTAGTATTAATTTATTAACTTTGAAAAATTGTTAGTTAGTATACAAGAAAACAACAACAAATTATCAATATTCGTTTACCAGTATCACCTTTAACATACAGGTTAAACTTATCAAAAAGCTTAATTTAGAAGTCCTTAAGAAAATCCAACGATCAGCAGCAGTTGAATTGACCAACTAATCGTAGCAAATCTGATGTTAATTTTTAATAAAAGTAAAATAAGTGTTACCAAATAAACAAAAAGAGAATTTAGTATTCATAATTAACTATCGGCAAATTGTGGTGAATAAAAACGAGATTACGTTACGAGTAACAATCGATTTCTCCAATTTTTACGAACAAGTCCTGCCTGCCCCTCAAAAAAGTATTTCGCTACAAACACTGCTACACGATATATTTTTTATTTATAGTTTCATGAACAGCAATTGCGCCATTATCTGCCCTTCTTTACATTGGAGGCGAATCACCTTCACTACTATGTATTTGAATCCTCTTCGCTACAACTCATTCTTAGGCTCTCCAGAAGTAGCTTTTGTTTAGTTCTTCCGGCCGAATATTCAGCGGCCGGATAACGGATATTCGGCTGGTGAACAGGCCGAATATTCGGTATCCGGTATCCGGCCAAACAACTATCCGTCGCATCACTAATCTTAACAGTAAATTAAAATTACTGAAGCGAAGCAATCTACCTTGACACTAAGATCATTAGGTCACTGCGTTAAGTCAACATCAGAATGTTGACTTAACGCAAGTATTCCAAAATAATATATGTTTATAAAGAAAGTTTGGAAAAAGCTTAGATTAAAAATCGATTATAGATTGAAAAAAATATGACACTGGCAGGACTTGAACCGACTTGAATCCACAGAGTTCCGTGCTGTTTCTCTGTGACTTTGATACTGATTTTTAATTTATATAATGCGATCACATAACAAGTGAAAAATATTAAAGCTTTCAACAAAGATAAATTTAGACAGATAAGTTCTATTAAAAGATAATTCTTAGATGCCTTTTAAAGTTATTTTCATTGGCACAATTTTTTGAATTACCTTCAAATATTATATAATGGTTAGGTGTACTATAATATAATTAAATAAAGGACTACTTAGGCGGTCTTATTATACTTGTACTACTAATAGTCCAAGTTATAACCCATTAAACTAAAAGTCTTTCTAAAATAAGTTAAACATTTCTTATATAATCAAAGTCCACTTAAACTGATTAAAATACCAATAATTTCATAATATTTTCATATTTACTAAGGTTCCAAAACTTTACAAGAAAAACAGAATAAGGAGGGCTAACAAAGTTTGTTAAATAGCAAAATTCGATATAATCATATTTTTAAATTACTATTAAATATAAATTAAATATGTTTTTTTTATATATATTATTAAAAAAAACATGCAAATACTACTACTCTTTTTTTGAATTCCTTAGATTTAATTACTAATCATGAAAAAGCAAAGAAAGTTTACGGAAACGATAACAATTCAGTAGTTGAAAATGATTGTTTATGACTTTGAGATATCTAAAAAGGGTAAGTATTAATTATTTGCTAAATGGTTCACGATTGTCAAAAAGTTAGAATATTGAGGACGAAAATTAAAAAAAAACATTTAAATGTTTTAGTAAAGATGTGATTAGATTTTGAATCTCTTGTGAGTCACAGGCTTTATAGTGGATTTAATATTTTAAATTGGTTTTGGCATATTTTCCTGTCATAAATGTTTTGATTGCGCTCAATAAATAAAAATAAAATATGCGATTACTTAACTCGTTTTCGATTCGGTAAATTAAGCTCCCGGAAAAAAATAATAGCATCAATGCATCATCAAAAGGTAATGTGACGGCCTCATATAGGATAAAAAGATTTTAGTCCCACCTGCTTACAAAGCGTTAAAAAACTTGTTGTATTGTTTTTTTTTATTTACACTTATTCCTTAAAATTACTTCGATATAATCTCAATACATAATGTCGAATTAGGTAAAATAAACATTGGATTAGCATAATCCAAAGCATTTTAAACAGCGTGAGATGAAGATTTGGGGTCCGTATCAAAATTGAAATCGGTCACCTAATACTCTTGAGGTCTCCATCTCATTATTGGAATATTATATTATCTGAGTCATGTTCTGAATCATGAGTATCTATGATGGTTGTTTATTGTTTTTAATGATTTTTTATTGCAATTTTTGTACCAATAAACACAGTTGTATGAAAATATAGAAGACAATAAAATTTATGGAACGATCTGACCACGAATCACCTTTTAACACTCGAAAACTAAATAGTTCTGGTGCAAAATCATTTTAGTTTTTAAACGTAATTGTTTAATTATCAATTGATATTCGACTGATTGCTTGTAAGTCTTTGTAAAAATGCCAAAACACCTTAGTAGTATAAATAAATTAGTTCTTGTAAACTCTTAAGCGAGTAAGCCTACATCCTGAAAAGAGATAAGCCTAATATAAAAAAGGAATAATATGCAAAATTCTGTAATTATTTTACCATAATATATATAAACCAACATATCACATACAATTCCTTAAAATAGGAAAAATATAAAGTGCCAGAGAACGATATGAATAGGAGTGACAATGTTGAGAGAAGAGATTTAAAGAAAGACAGGGAAAAGGCTAACTGATTCAAGGAGACAGTTCCATTTCTGTAACTGTTATAAAGCTTTGCTATAGCAGAAACAGAAAAAAAATGGCCAACAAATTTTGTAGAATGACTCCGAACTACAAGGATACCTCACCGCAGACCGCAAGCTATAGTCGTTCAGTTTCATAAATTTACAAAATTGTTTGAAGAATAAAGAAGTTTGAATGTTGAATATATTAAGCTAAACGAAAGAGGGAACTAAACATATTGTTTACGTAAAGACATAGGAATGCGTGATTACATAAGTAATAATAATTATAGTGAGAGAATTTTTGAATAACCTGAATTCTGCACATTTATCATTTTTATTTTAATAATTGCTGGTAAAGAATTAATCTGTGAACATTTATATTTAATTATAACGTTCAATTACTATAATATACGCTACATTAACTAAACGCTGGTTTACCATGAAATGTATACAATTACCTACATAGAATTCCGAGTAAATGGTAAATTAGACAAAACATTGGGTACAGGTAAACATTGTCCATTCGTAACACGCGCGCACCGAGCACGGATCGCCTCAATCGGCCGCTCGCCACTAAATAAGATCACTTACATTCCAGATCCGTACCTTCACCTTTCTGATAGCTATTCCTGTTAGTTCCTCTCCGTATATGAAGCCCACACGGTAATTACACAAAAGAAATTGAACCAAAGAAAATGTTCCAACGTTTCCTTTGATACCCATTATATCGTGCCAAATAAACGGAGAATTGTTTTAGCTAAAAGCTGTACTATTAAGTTTGTTAAGCATTTGGGCGCCCGGAACACTGTTTTAGTTGTTACGACAGTTACTGTCGTTGTTACAGGCTAACTAGGGGTAAACGAGATTTAAGTTAGGATAAAAATGAACAAATTTATCAAAATTAAGATTGTGTCTACATTGATAAAATTTATGCTTCGAAAATTAAGCAGTACTGCCTATAGTTAACGCGAGGAATACACAATAAAATAAAACATGACATTTAAAAATATATAATTTAAAAATTGAAAAAAATTTCGACTCGGGCAGGACTTGAACCGGCATCGTCAGCGTTCCGTACTGTTGATCTACCAATTGAGCTACCGTAGGACTCGGTAAATTATATAGTGCCTTCGTGTGCACATGTAAAAAATAATAAACTTTTCAATCATTTATAACTATCAATGTTTACATGTTCCGGATGTTCTATACTAGCCGTGGTCACAGTGGTTTAAAGATGATGGGCGTTTGTAGTGTCAAAGTAAGATCTGCTGAATTCTTTATCTGTTATTATCTTTTAAAAAATAATAAATATACGAATATGTTTTTCGTTTTAAATAGTTATAATTTTTTATTATTCAAATAAAAAGCATGACAATTTTCTAGTACTGTATTGGGAAGGCAAATAAAATAAATTGCTATTTAGTTTTTGCAGTGTGAAGGTGTAGGTATATAGCCTACAATACAAGTTGCTATTTATTCACATACATTTTAAACTACCTGTAGTAAATGGAAGCTACATTTCGACTTTCGTAAAAACGCTTTTTTCTCATCGAGCACTAAGAATCTTATGCAAGCCTCAAGAACTTTGTAGCTTTATATTTTAGTTTGAATTAAAAAACTTTGAGCTAAAAGTACCTGAAGAGAGATTGAAAGAGTTCAATCATTTTTTTCATTATGTGCTAGTTCATAATTCTGTAATGTTTTGTGGTGTGAAAAGAAATTTTAATATAATTCAGAATTTATATGGCTAATCATGGTATATATTAGTGTTTATGTCTTAATGAAATAAGAGGTATAAATTTTGAAATAACGTCTAAGTAGGTACAGATTTTGCACTGCAATCATGTTATTCACATAATACAAAGAGATTTTTGATAACATAAATTTTATTTATGTGTTTCACCTTAAATCTAACCACAAGCCTTCTTGATTTTCGATCACCATTTTTAAATAAATATGTTCTAAATCTACATAACTCTAAACATGACGAGGAATCTTTTTTGTGCTTACTTTTACACTAAAAGTATATAAAAAGTCAGCTACAGAACAATAACTGAACATTTTAAAATTTACGACCTTTAAGAATCAACTTCACCGGAATATTGACAGGTATAACGGTTCTTTCAAGATCCTTAGTAACTATTACCGTAATAATCGTACAACAGCGTCCTAACCGTTGCGTTAACAATATCTTATACATAATTACATCACTGATTGTATATTTTCTATAAATAAATAACAAATTTCAAATTAATCTTATCAATAGACGCGTTTTCTTAATTTCAAGTGTAACCCATTTTTAGATTCCGTGACGATTCTGTAAGCAAATTGTGGTTCCGTTCCTGGACCGCCAAGAGTCAGCTCGTACCGCCGAATAATATTTGATATGGTCGCTTTCATCGCTGCCCACGCGAACCGGAAACCTTTAAAATAATACAGAGCTTTTGTTATATTCACTGATGGAACAGCAATCAGTTTTTTTTATTTTAGTTATTTCACAGGATTTGAAACGATATCTTATACTACTAATTGTAAATGATTAGACTTTTATATTTGCTCGATGAAAACATCAGAAAAGACAATATTAAGATATTGAAATAAAATACTTTAACGGTTTAAAACCCGATATATTTTAATTAATCTTATTTGAATATCTTAGCTACGGGCGACGTTTTGGATGCTTTGGAGCAGCCCTGGATACGGCTCTTAGTTTACCAAATATATACCGCGCTTTAAACCGATAAAGTGTTTTTTTATGTGTACTACTCGAGTAAACGAAAGAAAGAAACTGTTTATTTATTGAAAACATTAATATTTTTCACACTATTGCCCATGATGGCATTAAATAAATAGAAAAAAATCAATTTAGTTAAATTTAGACGCTTCTTAATAAAATTACTTACCTAAACAGTTCCTGGGTCCAGCACTGAACGGCACAAATGCATGATTGTGCATCGGAGAAAAGAATCTCTCAGGGTTGTATTTCTCCGGTTCATGGAACGTCTTAGGGTCTTGATATATAGCTTCGTAGAATACTATTATCGTGGTATTAGCTGGTGCTACTCGGCCGTCTGAAGCGTAAAGAGATTTTTATTTTAACACCGTAGCGAACAAATAAGATTATATTATTGTTGTTTCTGTTACGTTAAGCAAAAAAACTTTTAACAACCCGTAACTATTTTTATGTTCGTGTTTGACTTATTGTTACATGTTAATCTTGTAAAGATAAGTTTTTGATATAATGATTATTGTTAATTTTCATGCTATTTATACAATATTGTCATAGATTTTTTTTTACCTTTAAATTTTAGATCTTTCTTCAACTGCCGTCCAATCTTTGTCACAGTAGGAATAACACGGATACTCTCTTTAATAACCGCTTCTAGATATTTCATTTCGGTCAAATCTTGATTTGTTGGTCTTTTATGTATGTCTTTGTTGAATATAGATTTTTGTTCCTCTAAAGCTCTTGCTTGCACTTCGGGATGCTTTGCCAAGCAATATAGCGTGTGTGCCATCGTCATTGTGGTTGTGTAGTGACCCTAAAAATAATAATAGAAATAAATAATATTTATCTTACAGTTTCAGCATATTTACTTTAGGTTATTTTACTTGATTTTTACAGTTTTAATGAAAATTCAAAGAACCATGAAGAATAAAAGAACTATATCTATCCATGGCTACACATAGAAAGGTATGACACTTTCTTATTTGATCAGTTTTTGATAAATTACATTTTAGGTAATATCTTATGATGTTTTAAAATTAAACTAATTGAGATATTTAGAAAATGGCGGCAGGGGCGGGATTTGAAACTGTTTTTCTAATAAAACGAGCTAGCTACCTTGTCGCACATAATATTATCGTCGAATCTCTTTAACCTATTACACATTATTCACCTCTCGCCAATGTTTATAAAAAAGTCTGATTTATTGTCTAGATCTAATCGTTCAAGCAATTGACCAGAAATACCAAGGATACTTACAGTCCAGCAAACTAGTGTTACTTCATCGTTTATCATATGTTCGGGGAGAGGGTCCCCATTATGAAGTTTGCTCAAAAGGAACTTATCTAACAAGCACATATCTGTTGAAACTTTGTTCTCTAATAATTCCTCCAAATCCATGTCGACATGTTTATTGTTGTTTTTTGTGTCTTCTATTATTTTCTCTAGTTTCCCTTTCCTTTCGCTAATAATCTATAAAATATGCATGTATTATGTAAAATAGCATAGTAAAAGTTCAAGTTATTATATTCTTAGATATTACTTTATGGGATATGATTGGCATATATTACAGATATATACAAAGATATTGATTTTTAAAGAACATCCCTTCAAAAGGATTAAATTTCATCAAACTCTAAAATTCATTATTGGATATTCGTCCAGTAGTTTTAAAGTTACGAGAGCGAGTTTTCAATAGTATGTGAGAATTTAGTGGATAATATTTTTTTGCTATATTCAAATGTATGAAAGTAACGAACTTACATTGGTACTAGTGGTTCTCATGGTCTGAATAGCGTCCATCATTTCCTTGTAGAATGGAGTTAATTGGAAAATATATTTTATATTTCTCCAATAGGAAAAGTAATTTTCTGTTATAATGTTAACGACTCTGGAAACCAAATAGTTACAATAGGTAAATACGAATTATAAAACGTTAGGGTTATAAAGAATTTTGCGCAAGAAAATGATCTTACTTGTCACTAGCTTGTAGATAAGGATGGTCTAAATCATGTAGTAGATCACTGTCTACGCCCATTAGTGAATCTGAAAAAAAAAAAGATTTATTATTAAGATCATAATTGACATTCTACCTGCAATAAGTATAACAATTTTAAGCTTTATTTACATTTACAATTTGATTCGGACAACAAGCTACTGGAGGGTCTCGAACCCACCAATACAGCATTGCTCGCTGTTACCGTGACTATCGTATAATAATTTTATTTATTTCATCGTTCACTTTATGCTGTAATAACTTTAATACATAAATTTAATTTTTTTGAATTCTTTGAATTTTTTTTAGCAAATCTTGAAGGTTAAAATTATTATTATCGTTAAAAAGATCTTCAGCTAAAGTAAATTTATTGCATATTTCATTATGCATGTGAGTCTGTATGAGCTGTCAGAGCCTGTTTGTCTGGGGGATTTTACATACGTCATTGTATCGAAGCCGCGTAAAAACTAATTGATAAATACTATTAATAGACTTACTGCACAGTATATCGAACATGAATGGCCTCAGATAGCGATACATATCAACAACATTATTATCTTGATCGTCGAAAAGCTCAAACAAACGATCGCAGTATTTATTTACGTGCTCAACTCTCTTCTCTAGGGTTTTGAATTGAAAACTTGGTGCCATCAACTTTCGTATCGTCTTCCATTGTTCACCTTTAACAAAATTGCACATTTATATCATGATTCAAGTTGAAACTTACCGCTACATTTAATTTTAAAACCTCGGAATAAGTAAATATTAATCTTGTTACAACAAATTTAAATAATTAATTACGATTATGACTATTAACAATTACAATTAAATTAATTTAACAAATAATGTCTGTATGATCGTTAATTTTGCCTCCAAGACTCAATGGTTATACGCGTTGCCTCAAGTGCGTGAATTCACAGGTTTGAATCTTAGGAAAACGTGATACATTTTGGTTTAAACAAAGAAGCACATAAATGTATCTGCCACGCAGGAAATTTCACTATTTTGACTGTTGAAGTGATATTGATATACCTATGTTTGTTTCTGTTCCAGTAACCACAGTCGGGAACACTAACCGCATATCGTAAACTGTTTTAGCAAATTCTCGTGGACGTGGTGCGGCTAATTGTGCTATAGCGTTGCGTTTACCATAAACTTATTTAGTCTGTTGTCTCGTAGTTCACAATTGCATTCAAAATATTACAATTTGAGTCTATAGTTACAACAATAAATCCTTTTAAGATAATATGTGACGTCATGTGGTAAGTTTATGTATATACTGTTTTTTTAAGGCGTTTTATATTATATTCAAGTATCATTTTGCATACCTTCTGACGTTGAGACTGAGTTTCCGAAAAATGGCCTCATTGCTGAATTTCTTTCTATCTGCTTTCCCAGTTCTGTTGGGTGATTAAGGATGGTCTGAAATCAAAATACAATTTATTATTTGTCGTATTAAAAAACATATTTTTTAATTTGTTTGATAAGGCTTTGTATATTTATTACAAATAACATAAGTTTCAAATTGAAACTACGACTTCCATTTATTTTGAACACTATTTTCTCTAATTATCATTCATTATAGTATTTCAGTTTCTTGTAATAAGTTCTATAATTAAATTCATTGTACAATTTTAAAGGAATATAATTTTTTTTTACGAATATAAAATCAAATGCCTTTTATACTTAAAAAGTTAACTAAACTATATAATATATGCTTTAGGAATAACGATTTATTTATATATTTCGTAAATTGGACTTACAGCTACATCATCTGGGTTAGACAAGAGGACCCATTCTTCAGATCCAACTGTCATGCGAAAATTATTTCTCCCATGTTTCTTCCATAGCTCCATCAATTTGTGCGAAGAATCTAAAAACATATTAAAAGTTTATTCAAAATAGATTCACTTCATCATTCAATTGTAAGCATTGATTTTGTACGAAAGACATATTCAAATCAGCTGTAATAAGGTATATAGTATCATACCAGATATTATTAGAATAAATGATATTATGTCACTTGTTAACTGGGGATATTAAACGATCATTCTAACTTATAACTGCAAATGAATTCTTAATTTAAAATTAGCACTACCAAATTTATCTAGAAAATTGCTTAAATAACTACCATCAGCATCAAATCCCAATTGCAATCCGTTTCCAACAATCGGCAGAGGATAGTCTCCTGGATACTGCTTCAACAACTTCCAATCACGAGAGTGTCGTTTGAGGAATTCATAAATACATAATAAAACCACAGCAGCCCCTAATAGAAGGACGAACATTTTCGATGTTTATTTAATTTTCCAACACCTACTGTTTAGTCCGAAGCCCTCTTTCGAATAAAGGCTACAGTTAAAGACACATTAATTTATAGTTAGCGCTATCACGCCGGTCACAAATTATGACGCATCTGCGCACGCGACTATAATGCTGACTTGAAACTCATGTGCTGAGGATGGCGTACACGCAACTTCCTTATCTTTTACATTTGGTAAATCCGACTTTTCCACTGGCAACTTTTTTGCTCTTCTATTTAATGAGGTTAGCTAAAAAGTTGATGTTATCCAAAGAGATCAGCGTTTATTTGAGTTCATTTAAATGCATAGTTATAACCAAAGAAAAAGGACTCGCTTTCACTCGCGACTTCGTCTGCATAGTGAATCGTGGTAGCATATACATTTATGCATGTATTTCTTATAACGTAGATTTATTTATATTTATGTATCATAGTATAAATTACTCAACTACAAATTTAATTATTTGTTTATAAAGAACAGTTAGACAATAGTTTGTGTTAATTCAATCTTTTCTTATTAGTAGCGGAATTAAATGAAACAAAGCTAAGCTTAATCCATTGTTCTACGCCCCGAAGATTCGTGTAGCACTTTTGGAGATAAGATTATAAAAAATACTCTTTCCTTATCACCGGGATTCAGTTTTTGGTATTTCTTTCTAAATATACAAATGAACTATTCTTTCGCTTTGCAGTAGTACGTTAAAAAATGAGATGGCATATCTAAACTCTAAAAAATACATTAGATAGAGAAGTACAGTTTTAAGTTTTAGCATTTTTTGGTACATATTTTCTCATGCGATTAGCGATAAAAATCTAAGCTTAATACACGTATTTCATGTTTCGTTAACAAGATTACATTTTAATATCCTACAAGATATAGTAAGATATATTTCCTAATCGTATAAAATCACGTTGTACTATAATAAGCCATAATTATTTATTATTGAGTTCTTTATTGATTACCCTCTGACTCCCGTGGTCAGGTAATCAATCATATTTCCTTAAAAATACATAGAAAACTGCAATTTTGTAACGTGATATCATAATTATTGATACTATAAAAATCAAAGGCAGAGTTACTACACTTTATCTACTCACTACATCAATAACACTTTTACGTTGCATATATCGTAATGAAAATTTTAATCAAAACATTTTTAACGGCTGAAAACAGCCGTAGTTCCACCGAGGCCGCAGCTGCCGCAAACACGTACTTAGTTACAAATTATAAATGGTATATCGTATTTTAAACCATTATAGTTATTTTATTTTATTTCGTGGTGATTTTAAGTGTTGAGGAATTAATTTGAAGTATTCAGGATATAACAAGTATGTTGACAGGTCAGTATTAAAAAAAAGCAGTTAAAATTTTATATATTTTATTTTGGTCCTTTACGGGGATAGCTAATTGTTAACGGGTGACACTTTATAAGTATTTATAAATCCGATTATAATAACTAATCAATGTATCAAAGATTACAGAACTTAATTACTGTCACAGCTAACATCATTATAAGTAGTATATAGAGGACTTCGGTTACACAGATAAGAAATCATCAACATATTTTTGTGTCTACTTCATCGATCGATTTAATGGCAAAACAATGAAACGACGGTTGCGGCCTGTCCTTCGTCTATTTACACATTCGTTCTATTTTCCCAAGATTAGAACTCAAGACTTCTTCACAAAACTAAACAATGCGTTTAACCCATGGGTAATATTAGAATCGATAAAATAGTGAGGGAAATATCATATACGATTTTTTAAACTACATTTTGAAAAATGCGAGCTTGATGAACTCCCATCAAATTTTATCGAATTATGCGATACGTGCTATTTCGCGGATGATAATCGTTGGAGGAATTTAATAGGCAACACACGTTGGAAATGGGTAATTGATTATCTGTGGTGCGCTCGCAATCCGACTATTACATTAGCTTAATTATGCACGAGCACCTGAGAGGATAGCTTAACTTTAAGCAAACGAGATCGTTAATTTGAGACATCGTTTTTTAACGACCCTAATCTTGCGTCTGCTTGAAAAAATAAACAAATCTGTCTATGTACTCAATCATTGACCTCTTCTGTGGCTCTTGTTGTATTACCTAGTGCGTTAAGCGCAATATGTCACGGGTTTGGTAGTTTAGACGGATCATAAAAAAATTTGAACAGATCAAGCATGCCAAAAGTAAAACACCTTTAACGGTTTAAAAGGAGAAATGTAAGGACTGACGTTTTGTACTTACTTTAAAGTAAATAAAAATAAATCAACTATTGTCTTTTATGTTTCAAACGGTTAAAAGTGTTTATTTACATGTGTACTACTCGCGTAACAGACTAACTTAACTAGCTATTCTGTAAGGAAAAACTAATGAGAACGAAAAGGGATCTAACAATATTTTATTAAAAGCTTCAAGAACAAAATTGATGTTGTAAATTAATAGGGACACAGGAAAACGTAACAGTAATGACGTCAAGTTACATCACTATTATCTGTCGTTTGGTCGTTGGGTAAGTCAAAAACCCGAACGAGGAAAATTATGCCTTTATCCTGTAATTTAGGCTTCAATGGTTAAAGTATATTTACGAGTTCACCCATACTATGTTTGGGGTAAATTATAGGGCAGCTCTATAGGTTGACAGGCGTATCTTAATCCAATATTATAGGAGTGTGGCATTACATCAAATTATTGTTATTGAATTATTTGAATTAATTTTCATTCCGCAATACTATTATTAGATGATAATAATAGTCCTGTCCTATCCTATAATAAGATTTTTAGGTATTTATATGTATTTAATATTAATACAACTTTAATAATTATAAATAAGACGAATTATTGATTTTTATTAATTGTCGTTCTAATAGTATTATAATAATTATTTCTTTTAACATACCAAAAGGTAAATACTAAAAGTCTATAGTAGTTCTATTTTTGTTACTAAATTTGATTGTTGTATACAATATATTTTATAGTTGAATAACTTAAAAATAATTAATAAATGGCGCTTAACAATTGGCAGGAAGATAACATAACAGAATCCAGCCTATATATAATAATTTTACAATATGAATATTTATATTCCTTACAATAAGTAATAAATGGTTTTATTTCCCAGAAGTCTCATGACTTGCGATACGGTAATATTTTACTTAAGGATTATAACGTTGTCCTGAATCGAAAGTCGGTAAGATGTTGTGAAATTGGACAAGATTATAGAGCTTATTTGGAATCCCTTATATCTGCAGTCGGAGCGGAAATTCAAACTCGTTCTTACGTCCAAACTGATCAAGTTCAGGCAGCACGTCGCGAGTTGCTAACACTCATTAATTTCTCTCAAATCTCGGCTCTGATCCACAACTTCGCTCTCTCTCAGCCAATTATCGAGAAATTACTTCTCGATAATTACTTCAAAAAGATGCTTATTGCCTAATCACATTGCCAAGGAGGGCTTAGGATGACCTCATTTTCTAATTTATTCCATTATGATCTTAACATCTACCAGCGTTTTACCAATAGGTAATTATCAATATTTCAAAAATATTATAGTAGCACTTTAATTACTAAGAATGCTAATTAAAATTAAAATGGTGTGTATGAAAACTTATCAAATATTATTACAACAGCAATTCGCTTTGTCTTGTCTAAAAATCACACTTTACTATTGTGCTAGAAAATTGATTTGTGTACCGTTATTATTTACTTTCTTTATTTTTTAAGAACAAAAGATTCGATTAGTAAGCTATTAATTTTCCAATAGTACAGTGAATGTTGAAATCTTTTGTACATACATAATTATGTAAATTAAAAATGTTATGTTTTATGAAGTTGATTCACTGTTTTTCCCTGTTTATAAATGTTAGTTTAAGATGTACTGGTTCTCTTTAGAGGTTATCCTTTGCCAAGCAAACCTCTGAATGTAGATAAGAATAAATATTTTGATGCACAACAGATAATCGAATGCCAAACCTAACATACATAAGTCCCACTTAATTTTAGCCTGAGACGTTTCTCAGCCTGATAAAATCAAGATAAGATGATTTTATAGAGTAATAGAACACACATAATATTTATAATGCTCGAAGCAGTTGAGAAGACGGAGGAAATAAACAGTAGTGGACTAGCGGCTGCTAACGAGATCGTTGGAAGTTTACTCCGTTCACAAGAGGCTGTGGTAATATCGTTGGCTTCGCTATCCAATAAAGTTTTAATCGTATCAACTGAATGTCGAATGAGGCTTGCACGAGTATCATTCAACTTACTGCTAGAGAATTGACATAGCGTCTTTATACAATATCAATTGAAAACTTTAATATTCTTCACATGATGCTAATATATAAAAGTGGTTACATCACGAAACGCTGTGGATGCCTGTGTCGTAAAAAAATGTTTGATGATTTTTAAAAATACAAATTTACATTTTCTTCGAGATGAGAAACCATCGTAACATTTAATATTATTGGTAGGTTTTCCTTAATATTCATGTGGTGGCGGAACTCTTCTAACGCACTGTCGTGTTTCAATGCATTAGATAGATTTGGCCTTACCAGTTCGAAGCAGCGGGCTGGTTACTGCGATTCACAACATTCCCCGCGTTATTTCTCATATTTTTCCCCACGTGGATGAGTACTATACCTCCTTAAAAAAATATCATATCAAGTCATAATAATAAAAGGAACTCATGATTTCGCAAGGATCTTGTTTTTTGTTGCATGAGTTTTTTATCGCGCAAACTACAGACATTGCTAAAGATCCTTATTTTTAATTAGATTTACACAATTACTTCTTACAATCTCAAATAAATAGTAAATACTATTATTCAATGAAGTCACAATAATAACTTGCATAGCCACAAAACCATTTACGCAAACTATAACATTCCTAGTATATTTACTCTCATGACGACATCGATCAACTGAATACTTACATTTTCCTTCAAGTGGGAAATCATCGCTAATTGAATCTATTTTCCCTAAACAGACTACTTCCTTAGAGTTTAATATTGCAAAAATAATTATTAATACGTCTGTTACAATCGCCAGTATTTATAAAAAATGTATCAATGAAGATATATGTAAACATTGATGATTCATACAGTTGGAGGAAAATCGTAACATATTTACTATGAACATACGATATAGATATGATGTGACAATGACTTAATAGAAAGACATATTGAATGAAATACCATGATTGGAGTTCATAATTATTTTTTTTTATCGTAAACTGAAGTAAAACAATAGAAAAGGAAAAAATAATGAAAGAAATATATTAAACAAAAAGAAACGTTATAAAAAGAAGTACCCAACGAAATTGACATCTACATCTATACTAATATATACAGCTGAAGAATTTGTTTTGAACGCGCTAATCTCAGAAATAACAGGTTCGAATTGAAATTGTTTTTTGTGTCGGTTAGAACATTTATTGAGGGAGGCTATAGGCCATAAAACATTGCCCTATGACTAATACAAGTGAAGATACAGTGACAAATGTGAAAAAACTGGGAAAATGTTCATCATTATGGGTTTCCGAGGCGTACGCTGCAAAAATGGTTCAAGATACCGAAAAAATATGAATGGAACAATGATTCCTCTTAAAATTACCTAAAAAAATTGCTTGCGAGTTCATCTTAAAAGATAGACATTTAGCGTCGGGAATTTTTTATTAAAAAAAAAAGAAGGATAGATTCAATAACATCGATATGAACTTAGTAAAAAGGTGATCAATCGTTACTACGTACCGAGACATTTGTATAGAACTATTACACTATTTAAGTTACTGTTTCCGTGGTTCACAGGATAAATCCTAAAAAATAAAAACAAATAACTACTTTCAAACAAAACGCCTCGATCCGATATATCGTTCGTCTTGATAAAAACGGCTTCGTAACGTTTCACCAGAAACGGTATTATGCATCGTTCTAATAATAATTAAAACATTCTAGCAGGGAAAATACATTCAAACAATTAGAAATAATAGTATTTCCTTTAGGACACCAACGCCATAAAATTAATACAAAAGCATCGTAACTGACATTCCAGAGGTAACAAGCTTGCCAAATCTATGTTCCAACTCCCAATATGAAAACCTGCGAACAATGTTTCCAAAATCACTCTTGGGTATTCCCAGCACTTCCCTTGCGTCGGCGTCGTTAATATTTTTTTCATATTTAACGGTTAAATTCTTTAGAACGATTTATGTTAACTTAATAGTATGAAATCAAATTATATCTCATAGGTATAAAAATAACTAGATTGGAGGTCGGAGTTGTGTTGTTGCTAGGTAATGGGACCTGACCCTAAGTCCGCCTGTCTACCACTGGGTTGAATCTAAGAGCCGAGATAACTAAACAGTGAAACTTGAACAAATAATATACCTTTGTTGTCGCTAGAACAAGAGGTACTAAAAACGCAATAAAATAAGATTTTCTTTCAGCGAGTTTTCGGATTCTCCCACGCTACTAATATTTTTTTTTAATACGGTATGCTTTGGATATTTTAGATTATATATACTATTCAGTAACAAAAAAAGATATTAGTACAAAGTACAAAGCCACTGCACGCTAGAACTTTGGTTCCTTCTTCATTGCAGCTATATAATATAATTAATTCATCATAATCAATAATCAAGCATTATAGGGCATGGGGCAGACCCTCATGCCCCATAATTGTGTTCAATGAGAGAGCGATTATGTTCGATTTTGAACGAGGTAAATAATTCATTATTGAATAAGTAATGAATATATTATATCTGTAATATGAATGAATTTGATACTGACGCGTGTGAACGCAGGCTTTTTCCGAATTAAATAGAGTTTCGGTCAATAATTTGTTAATTCATTAGAAGCTGTTATTGCAAAAAAGCATAAGAATAGAATAACAATCATATCCGCGTTTTAAACCGTTTAAGATTGTTGAATATCTATCAATCGCACAATCACGGATAATATTTACGCTATCCATGTTTAATTTAATTGTATATTACCAATTTCCTATGTGTTTTAAGAATATCTTGTTATCTTTATCAGGTTCCATTTTTTACACTGTTAAACATAGAAGTTTCAAATTAAATACGTTCGTAATCTATATAAAGCTTTCATGTAATAGTTTCATGAGAAAATCTTCATCATGTAATGATATAGATTATACAATATATTTACATTTGTATGCTATGGTTAAGGATACGTATATAGAATACGTACAATAATAAATAGTAAGATAAAATGTGTGTACAGAAACAGCAGTTTTTCTTATCAGCCACAGATATGATGTTTATTTAGTTTAGGATATTAATTATTTTCTTGGAGAAAATGAAAAGTCAGTCTGCTTATTGTTCAGATAAAGTTAGTAAGAACGTAAGTCATTATAACGACACAATGGTTAGGAAAACGATGTAATTTCGTTGGACCATCGAATATGCTACCAAACGTAAAACACCTAATGATTCTAATTAATGTAATTCAATAATGGCTTGAATTACGTTTTCTTGTCCTTGACAAAGAAAAAAATTAGTAATTAATTAGCTCGTATTAAAAGACAATTTGGGAAGCATTAAAGGAAATTTTAATATAATAGAATCTTCTAAGTGATTTGAAACGTGACTAAGCCACCGTGACCAAAGCATTTGAAATGTCGCGTCGAGTCATAGTTAAAAATAAGAAAACTTACAAATTTTGTAAAACTGATCTATTTATTGTGTACTGTTTAAGCTTAGACAATTTTAATAATAATATTTCGATAATTCACAATGATTTTTGTTTGTTTCTTTGTACGTACTGTATTTGAGAACTGGCTGGAAATAAAAAAAAACAAAAGTCTCTCTTGCTTCTGACTATACAATGGATTGACGTTCTTAAGTGTACTGCTTAAATGCGTCAAAGTTTTGATGTTTCCACAGGCGCACAGTCCACGTAACCCGAGATTCCTTAAATCCTTTGAGCCTATTTTGACGTAATATATCGTAACCCTGACGACCTTGTCGTCGGATTTCAGCCAAACATTCAAATTAATATAAGAGCCATCCTCTGCTGTTGGATTAAATCCAGTGGAACAATAACATTGTTAACATTTCATCGCTCTCGGTTAGCTGTGTGCCTACAATATTTAGTACTGCTTAATTAATTAAATTAAGCCGCCCCTTGAGAAGGAGGTGCTATTATTATGATTAATAATGTACGCATTGTACAGTGGTAAATCTTACGCAGCTACTACAACTAACTTTTGTGAGAAGTGAAGGCGCTAAATGTATAGATATTTATTGTAACTAAACGACGGTTGAACCTCTGCAGCTAAACTAAGCTAAGGCTAAACGTGTTGCCTGCCATTGCGCTAAGTCCGAAAGGTCCTGGGTTTGACTCTTGGGGAAACAATACATTGTTTTGGGTTACGAACGGCACAGAAGTCGGATCAACTACTTGTTTGCCTGTAAATAAAACCGATCAGTGACGGACACAGAAATGTGTTCGGCCCAAATCCAACGGGAAGAAACGGGACTCGTGGTCATGCATCACTTTTTCGATGCATGAACGCGAAACTTTAACTCTCATTGTACGACACAGACATTTAATGGAGAATAATTCTACTCGTCAGGTCGAGTAAGATGTGGAAGTGAGCTACTTCAAACATTGAATATCGTAAAAGAATTTAAAAATCGAGAATAAACTATAAAAAATTTCGACTCGGGCTGGACTTGAACCGGCATCGTGCTCCGTGATATTGCTTTACCAATTGAACTACCGAGTCTTTCACCCCATCGTCGATTTTTTTTTTACTTAGGGATATATGGACCTCTCTCGCAATGTAATTTCAGCCTTAACACTTGCGAATCACTCGATCCTAAAAGAATTTACATAATTTTTGCTTATCTATATTAACACAAGTATCTATTTCTAATTGATCATTTAAGTAAATAATTAACAAGTGATAAAAATTTAAGTAGTCAGAGAAGCATGTGTTTATATGTTTATATCTTATCTTAACTGGCAACACTCTTTATCAGCCACAATGATGAAACAGATGATATTACTTTTTCGGTAGCAAAGTGATTCGTTCTTACTGTGATGAGGCATAATTACAGTACTAGATGAAACGTCATTTTTATAGGTGTGTCACGTAAGTAACCATCTTTTTTTTTAATTTTTAGTAACCAACACTTTTTATTTTATCATTGCCGTTTCGCCATCACGAGCGGACGGCATCATCAGGAGATGCTGTTAACTCCTCGATTACACGAATAATTCGTTCTAATTCATTCATTCTTAGTTTCGTTAATTAC